GACGCAGCTAAAGGAAATAAATACAACGGACTCTTATTTACATATTCCCAAACGTAAATACGCGCCATTTTTATTTGCCCGACTGCTTTTTTATATTTGGGCACTCAGCAGTATTCTGCGAATCCAGTGCGCACTCCTGTGCAGCCCTTCGCCCTTCCCCCAGCAGCACCGCTTCCCTTTTTTCCTCATTTTATTTTTTAAAAGAAAATTTGCATAAAGTGAAAACAAGCATTTTAATTTCACTCGACGCAGTCAAAAAATGAAATGTAAAGGAATCGCATATACGAGTAGGTAGTAAACGTTAGCATTTACCGAAATGCCGCCCACCTCCCCCTGCGCCGCAGTCCCTAAGCCCCATTGTGGGCGGCAACTCCCACGAGCAGTAAAAACTTTTGCGAGACGAAATCCAAATGCAAAACATGAGTAGCTATAATTGATAAGCCGAACTTTGAATGTGCTCTCCACGCATAGTTTAAATAATTAAGTATACGACCTGTTGTACCCTGACAATTGCTTAACTGCTCATATAGCAGCTGCATCGGGTTCCCAGTAGCATATGTTTAATAAATGTGAGCTTAATATGTGTAGTTTTTACATAAAGTATAGCCTATATACCTATCCGAAGTTTGGCAGCCTGGCCTTCGAGATTTACTACCTGAGATCTTCTTACAATAAACCTTTTATAATCTAATGAGTCTGTTGTCTCTATATCATGATGGACTCTGGCAATAACTGAAGCTTTTCGATATTTCTGTTTAAAAGAGGTTTAATGAAAAATGATCTTCTCAAATTACCCCTATATCATAATTTATTCTGCCAATAGCTTCAGCAATACTGCAATCATATAATTGCCTTAAAAATTAATTTTTATTTTACACAGAATTAAGTAAGCATACCAAGTTTCAGGCATAAGAATTCACTTACAAAGCAGTTCATATAGACCCTATATCATGTCTAACTCTGCTCAAATCTCTGATAATGCCTACACTAACTGTTCATTTTCAATACATATTCAATGAACCCTCAAATATAAACAGCTTTACCGAATTTCAGCCACATATCTGCACGCAGACTCCAGTTCACATGGGTAATTCCGCTTATTAAAACCCAAATACCTTTGGTAAGCGTATTTTCAAACTAGTTTGGTGTGTGTCGCAATTGTTGGGTAGCTGGAAGTAAAAAAAAGCGCAATGCCCACAGACAAAACAAACCAATTTAAATTAGACTACCCGCTGGGCCATTGGGGTCGCTCGCTGGCCGTTGGCTGTCTGGCTAATATTTGGGGAAAAGTGTTGAGAACTTTGCTCAGCTCCAACTTTTGACACTCGCAATGCACTAAATGTAAATCGAGGCGGTGGCAGGCAGGCGGAGTTCATGATAAATGTGCATTTTATTTTGGACTCATCACAGAATATGCTAGGAGGGGTGGACCGATGTGGGGGCTCGGTTGGATACACGTACTCTATGAGGTGCCATTATGAAAACAATTTGGACAGATAACCGCAACCAGAACTTGGAAAATTTGCTCATTTAACTAGCGAGCGTCGAGCATTATTTGAGATGGGACACATGCCACGTTGGCACGTTTAATATAATTTAAACCTAAATACATACCAAGAGTCATCTCTCTCTCTATGTGTGTGTGTGTATGTGTGTGTGTGTCAGGGGTTATTTGTGTGCGGCTGTCAAGTAGCCAGCCGTCTGCCTTTTGACGCTCGAGCCCATAAATTACCAAGCACTTGGCAAGGCAGAACAGAACAGACCCGACTCGAGTCGAGCATCTTCCCAATTTTCGGTTAGTCATTTGCCTGGGCCCGGGGCACAAACAAAACTATTAAGTGGGCATAAAACTCTCTGGATATATACATGTATGCGAATTAAGGGAGTGTGTGGCAGAGCATCTAAAAACTGAAGTGCCATCCACAAATGGCAGAGAGTTCGCTGAGCTCTACGACCATAGCTATTCGATGTTCATTTAGCAACCCCTCCAAAAAGCAGAAAATAAAATAAAAATTGCAAATTGAACAAAGGCAAAATATTTCAGACTCCACTGCTAAAATAGGATTTTATAGACATTTGCATATATTGTAATTTATAGTAGTCAAATGATGTGGCATAAAATAACTAAACAAATGGAAATCTGACTTCAGTCTAGAGTGGAAGTAACAATGGGAGAGGTACTAGAGATATATGATCTATGTATGTGGCAAACCGTATTGTTAAAGTGCTTCAAGCTTTAATCTGTAATCTATAGAGCTAGAATGAAAGCTCTTCTAGCTCTATAAATTTCCGATTAAAGCTTGAAGCACTTTATCAAAAAGATTTTCCACAAAAGATTCTTAGAATGAAATAACAGACAGCAGGAGGAACATCTGGACATCTTAGTGAGAGGAAAACAATTCCAATAGTTTTCTTAAGTTGTGTGCCACCTAATAAGAAAGAATATATATTTCGAAAACCAATTATATTTCACTTTGCTATACTTTAAATAAAATGCATTTCATATTTGAGACTTTTTTCACAAAAAATTAAATGCTATAAAATGGTATTATACTAAGGTATATTAAGAAGGCCGTTATAATCCATCAGCTTGTCAAACAGTCTGTCAATTACAACGTTCATCTGCTCATCAATCAAAATAAAAGAAGTTTTGGGTATAAATAGGCATATACTAGTCTAAGCAGGTGATTTTTTTTTTTGGGAATCTATTCTAAAATCTGATAAGGGAACAAGTTTTGGCTTTGGACTGCATGCAGGTCACCAATTAATCAATCAGTTGAACAGGCAGCAACTTAATATAATTTTTTTTTTTAATAAGTTAGCATTAGATTTCTGCATTCCACATAATCTCAAATCACTTAAATTTAAATTAGCGGGCATGCAGCAGTCCATCAAACTCCATCCAGCTGCCTGTTGCCTGTATAATTTATCAGTTTATTTGCAACTAATTTCTGCACTGATTTCAATAAATTCACATTTAATTGCGCGACTCGTGTTTTATTTAATTATTTGTTTTTATTTTTTTTGCCTCGATGCGAGTCAAATTTTTTCATGTGTCGCAATTTATTGGCTTAATTGAGGAAACAAAATGAAAGCAAATGAAAAATGGAAACGTGGCCAACAACTGCTGTCGCTGCAAATGAATTGTGTGAAAATTCTATATATGAATATATATGTGTGTATGTATGTATATACTTTTAATTGGCTGCCGGCAAATCGAGCTGTCAAATAAATCCAAAATTTAACAATAGTCCACTATATTTATTTGTTTTAATTCAAACAAAAGGTGTAATCGAAGGCAAAGCAAAAAAAAAAATAAAGAAATAAAAAAAAAATAGAAAGAAAAGTTGTCAAAACTTTAGCCCAAAAGACATTTTCAAGTGCAAAGTTTTTCTTATTTGCAGCCAGTCCCCAGGGATGCAACCAGTTGAATTGTTTCCACTGGATATCTGCCGCAGCAGGAGCAGCAGCAGCAGCAGCAGCATCAGCAGGAGCAGCAGCATGAGCAAACGACACCCCTCAGCTGGCATTTAGCACAGGGGGCTGCAGTAGTTCGGGTGGGGTGTCTGCGAGACTTGTAAAGGGTCGGTCGCTGATTTCGAGGTCTAAAAAGTCAATCACAATTCCCAGTGCAATCAGAAGACGTCGTATTAATATTTAAAGAGGTCATCGGAATTGCTTTCTCCGTGTGCTCACCCGCCCTTGGCCCTTGGCACCGTCGGTAGCTGCAGCCGTAGAGATAAGCCCGGCAATTTTGTGGCCTGCAATATTTTCCACTTATTTGCCGATTTGTTGCAGCTAAGTGGCTGTGAGAGCAACCCCTAAGATACAAATGTATCTTTCACTTGGCTGTCCTCTCTGCTGCTGCTGCTTGATGGCTTCCTTTTATGATTTGCTGCATTGTCTCAGTCGCTTTTATGAGCTCGAATCGTTGCATTTTTAATGTCAGATTGAATTCACATTTGCATTCGCTTCGCTATTTATGCTTTTTCCGCATTTTGCTGATTTGCCTTGACAGCTGTCTCTCACTCTCCCTCTCCCTCTCACTCTCTTCCTCTGTCTGTCTCACTGCAGCTGTCTCCCTCTCTCGCTGTCTGGCAACTGTCTGGAACCTGAAAGTGAAAACTTTCGCTTTCTTTTTTTTTATTTGTTTTTCCCCTTCTTCTTTTTGTGCACATTCCTGTAGCTGCGGCTATTCAATTACATTCACTTGCAATCAATCACACTCAAAGCTCAAGAGTTTTTTCTTCTTGTGTATGTGTGTTTATATTTTTTTCGGGATTTATGTGAACTTTTGTCAAACTTTCACAAATAGTTTAGCCTGGAATGTTGAGAGCAAAGATATGTGCAAAGTACTTATTGCAGACAAATATAATTATTAAAATGTTTGATAAAAAGATGAAGATCATGAAATTCTGGTTACTTAAGCATCCATTCATTATCAAAATGCATATTTGTCAAATATTAAATACAATTTAAATAGCAAAAGATGATTTGTCAAATATTTCATTGTGATTTTGTGCTTAAGTGACCTAAAATCCTTTAAACTTTATTGTCTAGAAGAAATTCATTTATAAATAGTTAACATCTGTGGTTTGAAGCTATTTGAGTAATATATAAATAAATAAATAAAAATAATTTCCTTCTTTAAATTGATTTTGTATTATATAACAAATTTTATTTTAAAACGTAATCTGTGTAATCTGTGCAGATGATATTTTGGCATTTATGTTCTTATTTATTTCGAACCTGAAAATAACAGATTAGGTATCTAAAATTAAAAATTACAAAACAATCTTAAATAATAACAAAATATATAATCATATTATTCATATTTTCCATCGAAAAAAATATTAAATATATATATTAAATAAATATTTTTTCAAAATTTACTTGTGCGTAATACATTTGTAAAATAATAATAAATAAATTAATTAAAAATGCAGCACAAATAATTCGAAATAAATTTCATCAAATTTCAACTCTTTAAATATGTAATACTATTTGTATACAACTATTACAAAAGTCTGTCTCTCTTCCTCTCTCTTCCTTTCTCTACAAGATCTCTCTTTCAGTCACCGAAAATCTCATCAAAACTTGTTGCCTGTTCACATATTTTTTTGTAGTTTTTAATTTGGTTTATCAAGAAACTTGCAAGTTTTTGGCATAATTTGTAAAGCTCCGGCTCTACTTAATTTGAATAAGAACTTTTAATTCGGAAAACACCCAAAAAAAAAAAAAAAAAAAAAACAAGTAAGAAAGCTCTAGTCGAGACTGCTCGACTACGAGATCCCCTGAACCCTTGGAGCAATAGATATTTCAATCATTTTTCGCAACTTTCAGCTTACACAAGTAATACGCACACACACACACACACGCACGTACGCACACACAGGCATATATACACACACACGCATACAGACACACTTACACACACACACATATATATACACAAACGCATACACACACACACATAAACACACGCATACACAAACACATACACACACAAGCAACCACGCATAAACACGCATGGGCTGCAGTGTGCGCTTACTATGAGAAGTTAATTGTTTAATAACTTTTTTTATGGACGTACGATCTTTATGAAACTTTCAGAATATGATTATAACATGAATATGCATGTAATTGCCAAAGCACAAGTCTCTAGTATTTGAAATACGCTTTTTACAAAAGTGAGGGTGAGGGGGGCGAATTTAGAGGTGGGGGTAAATTTTAACAAAAACCGAAATTGTATAAATTGCATATAAGCATACATTAAAAATTTGGAGACCCTAGCAATAAAGGTGTAGAAGATATAATTTTATAACTGGGTTTCGATAAGGTTTTTTATCGATAAAAAAGATCGAGATGAGTTATCGATTTTTAATGATAAACTTGATATGCGCGCTGTAATTACGGACATTTTAAAAAAATTTGAAGTCTCTAGCTCTTATATCTTCTGAAATCGACGCGTTCATACATACGGACAGACGGACAGACGGACAGACGGACAGACAGACGGACAGGGCCAAATCAACTCAGCTCGTCACCCTGATCAAGAATATATATACTTTGTGGGGTCTGCCACGCCTCCTTCTCCCTGTTACATACATTTCAACAAAACCATTATACCCTGATTTCCCATTGAAAATGGGTTCAGGGTATAAAAAGAAAAAATTAAATGAAATTATGAAGTGCAAATAACAAAAAAACAAAGCAAAATAAAATAAAATAAAACATAAATAGCAAAGCAAACGAATTAACACGCTTTGGGCTTACCGCCCAGTGCACAGGCATCTCTACTCGACTCTCGCCTGCCCCCGCCTCGGCCCACCACACTCGCTAGATACCCTATAGAGCGCCCGCAGAGCAAAGTTTGAGGCCGTGAGGCGAAATTGCGAATCCGGAACTTCCGTGCTCAAGTTCTCAGCCGCCGGCTGTGCGCACAGAATGGGTAGGGGGCGGGGGGGATGTGCCAGGCGAGAGGGGAGTTGCCGCAGCTGAGCTTGGTTGCAAAAATAAATTTGTATTGTTTTTGTTTGTGTGTGTGTGTGTGTGTGTGTGTGTGTGTGAGGGTGTGTGTGTGTGTGAGGGTGTGTGTGTGCGTCCGTGTGCTGCTTTGTTGTTCTGGCGCGCCAAAGAGCAAACACAGTGAGCGCAAAAACCGCAGCCACTAAATGCATTAAAAGCCAGGCTCCATGAAATGGAGGCGTTGCAAATTGCGGCTGTGTGTGTGGGTGCCTATGTGTGTGTGTGTGAGTGTGTGCGTTGCCCTCTTGTGTTTGGCTGCGGTAATATTGTAACGGCTTTTGTGTCTCGCAGCCAAGTTTCGAGTTTGGCATTGTTTTCCTGCACGGATATCCTTAATGAGTGAAAACTGGGCTAAGGCTCCCATCAGCTCCCAGCCAGGCAGCGAGGCATCATAATTACCCCAGGCCCCAACTCTTGACTGCCCCTCAAGTGGGTCCCTTGTTTAGCTGACAAAAACACACTCGACACTCGCCTGCCATACTTCAGGCTTTTTTCTGCTCCTTCGCAGTAGAGCCTGCTGCTGCTGCTGCTGCTGCTGCTGCTTAGCTGACCAGCACATGCCGCCACATAAATCTTGGAGGGTGCTTAGCTCGACACCCCCTGCCCTGCCGAGCAGAGCTCCCTGTGTAATTATCATTGTGATCACTTTTCAGCAGTGGGCAAAACTTTTGTATTAAAAGTAAACTTATGACAGGACGCCAGCAACAGCTCCTGTTGACTGCTGCAGACAGGACATGCTATACACACGTTACGCAGCTAACACACCAACAACAACAACAACAACACACACACACACACACACTCACAGAGTTTGCCAACGGCCATTGTCAAGTGTAATTTATCATTCAGTCAACGTCCTTCGATTGCAGTTTATCATTCCGGCCCCCGCTCCTGCGCCCTCTAACATCCCCTGCTGCTACCTTGCGCTTGCCCACCCTCTCGTATATGGAACTTGCTTGACTGGGTCGTCCACTGTAATTTTTCTCTATCTTTTCGCTTTTGCAGCCCAAGTCATAGCTGAAGGAAAGCAAAAGCAGCGCAAGAGCAAAACAAAAATGTAGTCGAAGTAAAGAAAATGAATGGAAAATCAGTTCCTGACCTCAGGTTTGTTATTTTTCCTGCCACGACTTTAAAGCCGCTGAACGCAGGGGAGGGTAGGGAGGCTGGCGACTGGATGAGGTGCGGGGACTCGAGCTACGTAAAATAGCAATTAATGTGGATTTGAAGTTTCTACCTGCAATAATCGGAAATAATTGAAGAAAATAGACGAGCAACATGAAAAGAAAAGCAAAGCAGAGCAGAGCAGAAAAAATAGAATAGAAAAGAAGTAGAAAATCCCTGAGAAATGTGCATAGCTCATGGAGCTCTCCCTTCGACTCTGTCGCCTTGAAGGATGTGTTTGTACGTGTAATTTGTAACGTTTTAATTGTTGTTTATGTAGCTCCAGGCAGGTATACACCCTCTCCACACTCCCCTCAGCACTTTGTAGTGGGCCAAGGAGAACTCTGATTAGCTTGGCTCGGCTCGTTCGTGGGGCTTTAAAACGCAACCACAGCCGCTGGGGCTAATTTTGATTGTGGTTCTTGTGCTGGACATAATGGAAATGACATTAGATTCCAATTAACTGGGCCAACTATGTGGCTATATCAATCGAATCAGCTACCGAACGGGGCATTGAGGGCGACAAACTGAAAGCGGGGCTTTAAGCTGATGTGAGATGGCTAGAAAAGAGTGCTATTCGAAGTGAAGCAAAGCTACAGAAAAAGTGTGAGATTGATTGAGAGTTTACGTAGTGCAGGTGATTAAATTTGTTTTTGCTGGAGTTGTAATGTATTTTTACTTTAGGACAATTTTTTAAGCTGAAAGCTGAACTTATACATTTAATATAAATGAAATATTTAATATTGTATAAACTAGAAATATTAAGAAAATGCAGTCCGTTAAAAATACTACAAGTTTAATTTAATAGGAAATACCAATTAATATAATGGTATTTGTAAATATTTATATAAATTTAAAAAATTCAGAAAAATGATTTAAAAAATTTTTATAATATCTGAATACTTCAAATATTATTTTGTATATTAAAAAAAAAAAAAATATATATATATATATATATATATATATATATATATATAATACTAACAATTATTTTAATACTAAAATTATAAAACTAAAAAAACTATTTTCCAATTTATTTATTATTATTTTATGGATTTATTATTTTATGGATTTTATAAATTTCAAATCTTTTTCTGTATTTTTATTTAAATTTATTTTAAGATATTACTCAAGCTATAGTGCATGTATTGGCATCTAACGGTTTTTTCATCTGCCACATATTTTCAAAATTTCCACTCGTTACTTTTGCAGCAAAATCTATCTCACTCTCTCTCTCGCTCTCTGAGTATAGAAATGCGCTCCGGATTTTCTGATTTGTCAGCGCTGAGAGCAACGGAATTTGAAGAACTCCGAACTCCGAAAAACAACATTGTGCTACTCTTCGAGGCAGTGCGCAGACTCAACAATTTCCCCAAAGCCGGCTGAATTCAGCAACAAATGTTGTTTATGCCCGCTGTTGATAATAAACAAACCGAAGCGTGGCAGTTAATAGGAAGTAATAACTGCTGATAAGGAAATTGCAGCATATATGATATGGATTTTAGCTGGATGAATGAGACATTTAAAAGCATTTTAAATGCAAAATGTGCTGATAAGTGAAATATAGGATGGAATCATTTTATTTTTAATTTTAGCAAAAATAAATAAATAAATAATAAAATTATATAAATCCAAAAATTATTTAGCTTAGAACTTGAAGAAAATCTTTTAGATTTAAAATGAAATGGGTCTAAATTAATTTTAAAAAATAACTTTTTAATAAATAATATACTATTATAATATACAATAAAAAAATATATATATAAATAAATAAATTAATAAATAAATAAAATAAAATTATATTATCTATAGAGACAAAATTATATTTGCAAATATTGTGTTCCAAATAACAAATTATCTATTTATTTATTTTTTATTTTTGTAATATTCTTTAAATTATATTATCTATAGAGACAAAATTATATTTGCAAATATTGTGTTCCAAATAACAAATTATCTATTTATTTATTTTTTATTTTTGTAATATTCTTTACATTTATATATCTTGCATTGATTAAAATTTTAAGAAGTCTACACTTATTTTTTTTTTTTTGTAAATTTTTTTTTAATGCATTTAAGAGCACTCATGTAAAAATTATTATATTAGCTAATAATTTGCTGAAATTTACAACATTTACAGGAAGTTTCTAGCTTGGCGAACAGCTGATTTGTTTACTGCTCGGACTCCGAATGTTGCATGCCGCACGAAGCGAACGAAGCGAAGCGAACGAAGTTGGCAAAACTCACCACTGGGCGGATTGGTGCACGAGGGGGGAGCGGCAGTGGTGGGTGGAGGGGTGCTGGCAAGCAGATAGGAAGGCAGGCAGGCATAACTGTAAACGGTTGTCCCGTTGGCATTCAGTTGAGTTTTGGTTACTGCCGCCAACGGTTAACGGATTTTGGAGCATGCCACGCGCCTAAAGGCTGCCATTTGCCACTTGCCACTTGCCGCACGGCAAACAACAGACAGAAGACACAAAATAAGCAAAGCTAAGCTGAGCAAACCTAAGCAAAGCAAACATAAATAAACAAACAATTTTTTGGCTACGTTTCGTTTTGGGCAGTTCGGTTGTGTGTGTGAGTGTATGTGTGCATAAGTGTATGTGTGTGCGCGAATTTTAATTATTTAATTTGCGAGGCGTCGCAAACATGCGAAACTCAATTGGCCGCCAGGTGGCAGCCGCAAGATTTTGGTGGCTAACGGAAACGCAAAAGCAAACGGAAACGGAAGCATTTAAGCAAAGTGCCAGCACACACACTCCTCCTCCCCAGACAACCGTGTGCAATGCGTGCGCGTATGCGTGTGTGTGTGTATGTGTGTGAGCGCCTTGTGAATGCCGGCCAGTTGCAAACTTGCAATAAAAATTGAATACGAATACTTGTAGAAATACAAAAAGCAAAAAAAGCAAAAAAATAAAATAAATAAATATAAAGGGAGAGGGAGAGAGCGAGAGCGAGAAAAGAAAAAACCTCATATCCTCGGCGATCCTTTGTGCGGCTCTATGTGTGTGTGTGCGGCAAGCAAATAAATGCTTTTGCAACGCTTTTTTAGCCATTTTATCTCGAGTCGAAATACTGTAAAAAATTGTAAAATGGATTTACGTTTCGTATTCATCGTTATACTGCTGAAGTGGACCTATGCACAAGGTAAGACCATGTTCCAAGTGTATTCACTATGTGTGAGTGTGTGTGGGTGTGTGTGCATGTGTGTGGTTAGTGTGTGTTTGCTTGGGCATTCTGTTTGTGCAGCAGCAGCTGTTCAAGTGCAGTTTCTCACATTTGTTCAAGTGCTGCTGCAATTGCAAATATGCCATAGAAAATGCCTCATATGAGTATTTATTATATACACACAACTGTGTACGTGTGAGTGTGTGTGTGTGTGTGTGTGGCACAGTAATGAGGTGCATTTAGCTGAGGTAACAGACCGACTGGCCTCCAAGTGCATGCGAGTGTGTGGCAAAAGTTTTGCAATCGAAAAAGAAACTTTTGAAACGCACAGCATTTTATTCTCTCTGGTCTTTTTTGCTCGGTATTATTATTGATGTTGGTGCTACAGGTGAAAAGCGCTAAGGTGTTGCCAAGTGCCTGCATAGACAAATGTATGCTTTAGCTTCCTGCCAGCAGCAGGACGATTTCTATAGCGAAATATTCGAGATGATATTGAACAGTTAAGAGCATAGAATAGGGGGGAATTTGTTGTATTTAAGATTATTTAAAATTTAAAATTATTTGAAATAATTAAAACTGAATATTAAAAGACAAAAAAAAATTGTTAAATATTATTATTTATATATAATTATTAAATGGATATTTATATTAATTCTATAGATTTATATATTATATTTCTTTTATAATTCTTTTTTATATTAAAAAATATGCTTTGAAATAAATTTTTGAAATATTTCTGATATGAGCAATTTGTAAATTTTTTTTTTTAAGTTTATGTACAGTTAATAATATTTTTAAAATGTATTTATATATTTTTTTTACATATAACTTCTATATTTTTTAGTTAAATTATAAGATAGTTTAATTTAAAATTTTTTCGATAAATATGTAGCTTTATTTCTATTGGATGAGAATCTCACTAAAACTCCAAGTCTCTCACAATATTTCCCAACAGAATATTAATTGAAAATTAATGTCTTCTCCTACTGCGTACACATAAATAAATAATTTGATTGCAACTTTCCGTATGTTTTCCTCATCAAGAGGCAAAGCCACTCAACAAAGTTTCACTGATAATTATATTTGCCTTAAGTAACTAGTCAAGTATTTAAGTTACAGTTATGAGCTAATGTATTGATTAACTGTCTTAGAAGAGATCTCTCTTACACCATGTTCTTCGCCCTCGCTCTCTCTCTCTCGCTCTCTCTCTCTCGCTCTCTCTCTCTGTCTTTATCCTAGTTAGGTTTTATTTAACATTCATTTACTTGCGCTCAAATAAACTTATTTGCTTGCTTTTCATACGAAAAACTTTTGCCAGCCACAAAACAATTTCCGCACTCAGTTTTCTTGGGCTGCCACGCCCCCTGGCAGTACCTACCATGCCCTTGCCAACCCACTCGCTGCCTAACAACTCAAACAAATTAGGCAAAAGGAGCAAAAACAGAAACCGAAAAGAAGAGAACAAAAAATCGAAACAAGCTACCCATCGCATTGGCAGTAGCAGTTGGAGTTGGAGCTGGAGTTGGAGTTGTGGCCCGAGGGCAAACCAAATTATGAATGAGTTTTCTTGTTTGGTCTCGTATCTCTTTCTTTTCTTTTTTTTTTTTTTTTTTTTTTTTTTTTGTTGGCTTGTTGCATTAAATATGCGCATTTAATAAGCCCCAAAATGAATACGTACATACATATATACATATAGCCATGTTAATAGTGCGACGCTCCGCGGATCAAGTGAACCGCACGGCATCGAACAAAAAAGCGAAAATGAAGCGACATGAAACAAAAGCGTTTTACCGCACATTTGTTGCAATCATCTGGCACATCATATAAATGCGGAACAATTTAACATACCCTGTAATCTGCCATTGTGTGCTGGAGGTATGATGAGCATGTAAAGAATTTGGGTCTATAATCAAAATCATAAAATAAAAATCAAGTCAAC